AACCATGACTGAGATACGAAGAAGATATAAATTTATATGAAGCGATTGGAAGATGGAAAACCTGCCCAGTTTGAATATTTTATTGAAAAAATCTGGTCAGAGCGAAGAATTCACTATTGCAGCCTACGAAAAATCAAAATATCAGAAGATTTAAACTCAGTTTCTGCTGGTTGGGGCACAGATAAACTAAGCTTCCTGAAACTTTACAGAAAAATTGCACATTTTATTCACATCGTGTAGGTTTAACCATGACTGAGATACGAAGAAGATACAAATTTATATGAAGCGATTGGAAGATGGAAAACCTGCCAAGTTTGAATATTGGATTAAAAAAATCTGCTCAGAGTGAAGAATACGCTATTGCAGCCTACAAAATATCAGAAGATTTAAACTCTTTTCAGTTCGTTTTCAGTTCGTTTCAGCAAACTCAGTTAGGCAACAAAGCGAGTTATAGGAGATAGGAAGATGAGCAAGGCAGAGAAGAAAATGTTTGAATAAGGGAGGGCCACAGACCTGGAAAAATTGCAAAAACAACAACCCTATAGGTAAACGAACCCACAGCCAATCTCCAATACGCTGGAAAGAGTTCTGGAAATCAACGTCCGCAGAAGCAGACAAGACAAGAACAAGAAGGAGAAGCATATTTTTCACACTTTCGCTATGTCCTCTCCTGGTCTTACACAGTGAGTTTGTCAATAACTGCAGTCGTTTCTCTTGAGCAAACTTTTTGTTGAAGCCAAATTTGAAATCGTTAAAAACTTATCTACTGAGTATTCGCTTCAACTGTCTTCATTTCCGTCCGAATTTATTTCTTCTCGTGCTTTTTAAGCCTCAATATAGCAATTTTCCACCGAAAGCTTTCATGTGGGAAATTTGGGAGCGTGCATGCGTTTGCCATTCACTTCTGTTGCTGATGCAAATTGCTACAACCAGGAAAAAGTCGAAACAAGTCAAATAACCTAATTAATACAATAAATCCACGGCGTTTAATGGGAGCTTTCCATAAGGTCGCGCTGTCTTCCATTTAACCTTCTCAAATCAAATTTGAATCTACACAATGGCCAGGTTTTGCGCTTAAAATTCGCACTTAGGTATTTACTGAGAAGTGTTGAATTCTAATGAGCCACTTTGAAAATTTCCATTATTTAACATCGCACAATTAGCATCCTGTTGATAGGCGTATTAAATCGGAATCCTATCCGGAAGGCATGTTTTTGACTATTGTCAGTTTAACTTCAAGAGCTTCTGCTGGACAAGTTCTTATACTTTGACCAACCAGCGCTTCAAAAAAATTCCAGCAGGGACATTATGTTAATTAGCAACCGACTCCCACATAGCTATAAGTAAATGATAGATTATTCGGGCACTATCCAGATAAACTAGATAATTATAGCGCCCGGTAATGAATTCCATAATGCGTAAAATGAACAACTTGAAACCTAATCAATTTGAATTAATACCAGACATACTACGACAAATAATATAATATGGTAAAATCACGGCAGCGTCACTCAAATCAGCAAATTTAGTGAGGGTCATCAATTGTAAGCGCGATTTGGGGACTAAATTGGGGGCGGAGCCTGCACAGTGGAGCGCCGCCCATTAAAGCATGGTCCCACTCTTTCGTCCACGAACTCTTCAGTATGCGGCGGCAGCTTTGCGGAGAAACAGCACAAAAAAAATCAAGAACTTGTACTGCGACGGTTCAGTTTCAGTGCCACCAGCCAAAAGCCATTCAGTGAAAGTGTTCCATTCGATTTGACTGTTTTTCGCTGTGAAGCAGATGATTTGCTCCATGGAGGACTCGAAAATCGACATAAAGTCAAAAATTTCGTTCAGTGTTGAGTCGTTGCTGAGTAAACCAGTGGCGGTGGTCAATGAGCGGCTGCGGGACGATTCGTCCAATTACTCGGAGAATGAGGAGAATCGACTGGACACGTCCAGTGAGAAACTGGACGAGGACGACGATGACGAAAACATTACGGTTGATGATGAAGACATGGATGGGGACGGCAGAGAGAGCTTGAGTCCCAACTCACAACACACGGTGATCATTCCACAGCCTTTGCATCCTTCCATGGCGCGGATAATGCCCGCGGGTCACACACAGTGGCCTTTTTCTTGGGTTGGACCCAACGGACCTTTCAGATCGAACTCACCACAAGGTAATTTATTAGCTAGTTGCTTTATGCGCCATCTCAACCCGTAAAAACTGATCGTTTGGCTCAATATTCAATCAATTGAACGAAGAAATGGAGCTGATGGAGAAACAAATTTGCTCGTCGGCCTTCCGACGGACGTCTGCTGGGACAAAGCATTCACTCATGGAAATTCTGCAGCCTTCAAAATCCCAACGGGGCGAAGTCGGTTATTTTATGTAATTTTTGGTAACGCAAAAAACAGTAAACTCTGTTGGAGGCACAAGTGTGAGGGAGAAACATTGGAAAGGGTGCTAGCGATAGAATGAAATGAAAAATTCCCGATAATAAGAGGCGAGTAGTAGTAGGATCAGAAAGTAGTAGGTGATCTGATCTTTTAACCCTGCGCCACTCATTTCGTCCAACTACTCAAATGTTTGATTAATGATCACTCCTCAAAATTGAATTAAATGCGAACTACTAGCAGCTAAAGCATGATGAAAGACCCTTGATCGGGCAGATTGATTGCCATTCAACGAACTTATGCTAACCAATATATACCCGATTGACCACGACAAAGGAAATTGTGTATTCATAATTTGTAATTAGTTAAGGGTAATTTGCAAAAATGAATGGAAAAAACGCAATAATTGCAATTGTCGGTAATGAATCGAGTTTCATTTTGCGTTTATTCGAAAACTTTCCTTACGCTGCCGAATATTTGCGTTGGCCTCCAAATCCTTTAGCAAACATCTTTGCATTGGTTTGCTTGTGTGTTTACTAGTCAGGGGCTTTTTTGGAAATTCGGCAGCATTTTTTTATGTATATTTTTTGGGCTGCCTCAGGGCAACGGTTTGGGAGGCCCGGCTGGCGAAAACAACTCAGTAGAAGCTTCAAAGTGCAGCGGCTACATTTGCCTATGTGTTTTTCGCCTCTTCCGCCGTATTTTCTTCAGAATCTGTCCAAATTCACAACGAAACACGTGAATTTTTCAACAGTCCAAGACGCCAGCAATCAAACACATAGGAGGATCACAACACAGACAATATCAGACGCGATAGTTCAAAAATTCAATGCACCTCCGAAGAAGGTGAAATGGACGAACCTACACCTGAAGAATGAACAAATTCATCCCTAGAACCGAACCAGGATGAAGAAGTTGAAGCACAAAGCCGAGAGAAGAGGCAAATTTTCACGGTGAAGCCCACGGATCCGCGAGGAGGACACTGGAAAACCTGCAAAGAAGCATGAAGGCGACAAATTCAACGAAAGCGCAATCATAGTTTAGCTCAGAAGACTGGAAAAGAGTCATACTTCAGATGAAGGACCGAAACAGTGTGCGCCAAGCGCTATAAAACCCCGGAGTTCGAGCATGAAGTCAAAAAATTCCTGGAAAATCTTCATTTCTTCCCATCTGGGAATAAACCGGCTGAACTCCAACGGAAGAAACTGGGCAAGCTGAAGCCGAAGAAGCATTTCAATGGTGCGGACTGCTTGAAGAGAAAATCTAGGACAAAGTCAGTCCAATCATAGCATTTCATTGCTGCCCAAAGACCCAAAAATCTATATTTCCCGGTACAATTAAGTAAGTGGAATAGAAGAAAGCATTTTCGAATAAATCGGGGCAAGTTAACGACGATAACAGGCTCTTGAGCAAAATATTAATCAATTGATGCGTTGCATAATCTGATCTTAAGCTTCGCCAGTTTTGATTTAATGAAGGATATGTACTGGTCATCGACGTTAATTATCTCTTGCTTACAAGCGTTATTGCCAATAAAATGCCGTGAGGTACATTAGCTTTCAGGGGTCATAAAATATGAATAATTAGACAATTATACAGCAATTTATTGCGGCGGAATGATGTATTATTTATCCAACTCGCTCTAAAGTCGATTTGTCTGCAAGCCTTTTCTAGAAAACGTTATGACAGCCCGTAGGGGGTTTTTTCGTCTTTAATCGCTGCGCTAATTAGTTGAGACTATTTTTGCTGCATGTTATTAATTAGCCTAAGTAGTTGGCGGATTATTGCTGTGCATTAACAAGACATTTTTGCTGCCAATACCAATTAGCAGGCATATCTGTAATTCCCCACTGCGGGAATGTTATAAAACAGTGGAGACCAAATCAACAGATAGCTTCTCCTTGTTTCAGCTAATATTCCCACTTTGGGAAGCGGAGGGCCTCCAATCGTCCGATGCGCCCTAAGGAAACACAAACCCAACAGGAAACCGCGCACACCATTCACCACTCAACAACTTCTGGCGCTGGAGAAGAAATTTCGGGACAAGCAATACTTGAGTATTGCTGAAAGAGCCGAGTTCTCCAGCTCGTTGCGATTGACGGAAACACAAGTAAGCACCTAAACAACAAATAATTGTTTCAATTATTCAAGCCAAATACACATCAAAAGGGCTCCTCTTTCTCAGGGGGTGGGTTTTGTTCAACTTTTCAAAAGCACAGGTAGAACCGACACTCATTTTTTTTTGTCCCTAATCGACAAAGAACATTCAGTGAAATTTATTGACTGGAAACGAATAGGGCCTTGGGCAGGTTCAGGCTGTTTTTTCCCATCGAATCAATCTTACAGGGTTCTGTTATTTTCAGGTTAAAATCTGGTTCCAAAATCGCAGAGCGAAAGCCAAGCGACTTCAAGAAGCCGAAATGGAAAAGTTGCGACTATCAGCACGACCGCTCCTGCCATCTACTTTTGGGATTTTCAATGGGGGCGCCACTCTGATCTCCCCATTTTTGACTGCGATGGCCCATCGACCGCCCCATTTCGCCTTCGGGCCGCCCCCTCACATGCTCAATATGCCTCAATGAGAACCTCAAATGTGATTTTTTCCTGTGCCCGCTGATAACCGTCAGTGGACATGCCCTGTACATTAGTGTAGAAATGTATATTTTGTAAATAGACGCGCTGTTCTGAACCCTCAATTGACCAACTGTATAAACTGTTTATGTTAGGAGCTTGTTAAGTTCAGAAGTTCACAAAGTGATTATCTATTATTCGCAATCTACTGTAAAATAGCCTACTAATCTATAGAGAATGTAATTGTTCGTACTGAGTGCAATACATCTAAGCAATCGATGGGTTGAGTTGAAGTTTCTTGATAATTTTTTAAAAGACTGATTAGCACTTGATTTTATTTATTTTGTATATATTCGGTTTAAGTTGTTTTCCCCTTGTACAAAAGTTGTTGTACAGCTCTGTATATTGCTAGAGATAATAAATAATAGTTGTTTTCATTAGACTCCACTGTGTTTTAATGCCGGTATCGGGACCCAAGAAATTGTGATTTTAGCGCAATTATCAAAAAAACTCACACTCAAAGCCCAAATTATAAGTTTGTGGTTTTTTCCATCGCGAGTTACAGATTGAATTCGTCTGTTGCGTTAAATGTATACCTGCGTACGCCACTGGCCTAATGTCGTTTATTCGGGTTCGATTTAACAAGAAGCTGCCATATTGAGGGCCCATTGGCTTTCCGAAACACGTATCTTTACGATTTGGCTAATTGGAACAATAAATTGTTGGTACGGTGTCCGCCTTTAATAGGCTGATTGTCTTTTGTCCCATGGCATCTGTTCTCATACTCAGTGGGCCATGAAAATAATCACCTTTAAAATTCCAGCTTTTATTACGCGGAATCCAGTAGCCAGGGGTCGCATTACTCGTTTTTCAAGCCGCCAAAATAGTCCAATCCACTGTGTGCAAAATAAGACGCGTTTTTTGTATGGATACTTTCCTGTGCTTTTGTCTAACACTTTTTCTAGAGAAGATTTTTTCGTAACGACTCCACAATGGCAGGCAAAAAAGTGCTTAGTTCCCCTATACAGGGTGATTTAAAATTGGCGTTATTCCTTTTAAGCGCACGAGAAAAACGTAAAAAAAAATGTTTTGGAAAATTTCTCTAAGATGTTAACAATTAATTTTTTTACTATTTTTCTTGTAGGTACTCCCAAAACACCCCAAGGGAATGACGCCAATTTTCAATCAACCTGTACTCAGGTTTTTTTATCAAAACTAGATCTGATGCATTAACAAAGAACGCTTTAAGTCGATCCCAAACTTTACTAGTTTCTCTGAGGATGCATGAAATTCGAAACATTTTCCATTTATAGAACGCTCCGTGCACTAGAAAATTTATGTGAATGCGCCTCTCCAACTTTCCGGATATTGAAGCAATGAAATCTTGAAAATAGCCTGAAGATGATTCAAAATTTAAATGTTTTCTCACACTATGCGCTACGAAAAGCATCCAAATTTGAAGGAAATCTGGAAAAAAGACTGCGATCTGAAGAAATAATTGTTGGAATAAGTTTGCAAAAAATCCCGAAAGAAGATGATCTCCGTGAGGATGGTTCAAAATCGAACTATTTTTCGTTCATAGAACAGACTTTGCTCTACAAATCGCAAAGAAAATTTACGCCAGCGCTTTGCAAGTACCTGAGGAAACAAATGTGAAACTACCACCTGCTCAAATATTGGGTCGAAAAAAGCAGCGTCATGTTCAAGTGGATTTTGTAACTAAAAAAAAAAACACGCAAATCTAAAACTTCTTGAATTCAAGCATTTTTTGAAAAAACTGCCAACATTTACCTATCGATGGTTCACTTTCTAAAAAGGCCATTTATTTCTGCCTAGAATGATGTACAAATGAGCGTTCTTGATCATTTTGCCTCCGAGAAATGAGCAAAAACGGGACGGAAAACATGGAATTTTGGCATAATCTTGCACCTAAGTGTCTGATATTCAAATTTCACTT